TATATATATATATATATATATATATATATATATATAATGTTTATATATACATTATATATGTTTTTTTTTAAACCATTGTAATGTTTATAGTTTATACTTAAAGACTATTACGAAAAGAATTCTTCTACAAGTTAGAGTCATACTATGTAATTTTAGCATCGGAGAAAAACATGTTCTGATGCATCTCCAAAATTCATGCCCCCAATGCTAATTTAAAGGTTTTTGCTACATTTTCACTTTACCGTTGTAAGGTTTCAATGTAGTTTTTCTACTTCTTTTAACAGCATAGAAGTTTTATAATGATTTGCAATGATTTTGATATTTTATGTAACATAATAAACAGCATATTTACTTATTCAAATATATTTTTACATGAAATACATTTGGGGACTATATTTTGTTTGCAAAACAAAAGCTATCTATCTTATTTTATTGTTTATTTATGACTACATTAAGTAAGTCAATGGCTTTTAAACTACATTAATCGAGTCAAATGACAATGTAATAATTTAAATCTGACTATAACAAGAAATGAATGACTTAAAAAAGAGCCTGTAAACGTACATAACATATGTTATATGATTTTAATAATTAATATAAAAAGTATAAACTTAATAAAATTATAGAGATAGTATATTAAATAAAAGAAATTTGTTAAATAACACACAAATGTAAAATACACTAAGGTTAATTAAATTTAAACTTTAATTATTTTTTATTTTATATAAATACTCTATTGGTGTTTGACATCATTATAATTTATTATACGCTACGCAATGAACATCGATGTAGTTCTGTACTTATTGTAATGAATGCTTCCTTGCTTAATCTAAAATGTTTAAGTAGAAGGGTGAGAGGCACTTAGGCATCCCGCATTGTCTCTACTCGTAAGTTGATTGCATATTTCTACATATTGCTTACAAACATTACTGGAATGTGAATGTATCTTTAGATATTTACAATTATTGTTCTATCACATTTCGTTGTTTTGTCTACGACATCTTGAATTGTTATGATAACAAGACGTCAAAGAATTGCAATGTCAGTTTGCAAATATTCAATAACAATTTTAAAATGATATATTTCCAAAAACAATATTCCTAACTACTATGAATTTATGTATTCGATAACAAGTCATCGGAGTCAGGTGATGATCGTGGGTGAAGCGTAGAAGGAGTTGAGGGTTCAGAACGGAGTGTTTGCTCGCAAACAGCCTTCTCGAGTACGCGGCAAATATAGCTCGACTGCCACTCACCTGCGATATCACGCAGACCCTGTCCTGTTTACGACAAATACTTTTATCATACTGCTTGCATACGAGCTAGAAATGGGATATATTTTCACGATTCGCTGCAAATTATTTAGCATATGAATGTGAATGTCGCCATATTAAATTTATGAGAGTCAGAACTCATACACTAACATAGACGATATTCTTCTTATTTAAACCATTGTAGTGTATATTTTAATATGTGATAGTAAGAAGTGTACGATAAATCGACTTATCTCGAGGACGCATTTGTCACCTTCACTCAACATAAAGTGTGTCACCTGTCTTTTATTCAGTAAATCCCTAGAATATAAACTGATTTTCAAATCTTTTCTTTTCTATTATTCGTACCATTAGTCTCCCCAGTCATGAAAAATGTTATATTTTAATATAACTATAAATTATAATATCAAATGATTTGTTTATTTCAACAAAAATAATACAACGATAATAAAATTGAAATAACTCGATTACATTTTGCTCTTATTTCTATTGTTTCAAGTCCAATCACGTTTTCATCCTAGTTCATTATCTTTTAATTTGATACTTTTAAGCCACATTTGTTCCTTTTTTAATTTAGTCATAGATTTCAAGTAGTTGAAGTTTATTGTAATAGATTGATACTACAGATAAGGAAAAAAATACCCCTTTTAAGCAATTTACTAATTAGAACTACTTTTCCAAATAAAATTAATATTTCAGTGCATAGAGATAATTTGAAATTGATAACGTTTATTGAATCTATGTATACAGTAACTTACAATTTAATAATAACTATTTATCCCGAGCTTCCCTTATTCCATCGAGTATCGATATAAAAATATAAAGTCTTTTTATCTGTGTTTATTTCTATGTTTACTTTATTGCTTCTTTTATATTCGAGATCGTAATCATTTGGAAAAATAATAGGAATGCAATGTACCAACAATTGCAAGGAGCTTTAAAGGTATCTAGGGAGTAGTAGCGGTCGGATAGCAGAATTGTCACAGGAATACGTTTGTACAAATTACATACATTTACTTGCATGTATTCTTAACATGTTTTCACACTACAAGCAGAATGTATTTATTTTAAGCTTGCGAATGGTAAAAGAAAAACATTTAAAACCGATTTCGCTATCCTCAAACATTAATATGGGAATATAAAACTGAACGAAGGTCGCTTTGCGAAAGCTGTGATGCTTTTTTACTGAATTTATGTATGTGTTAGGCAACCGAATGGAACTTTTTGTTGGTTTTGTAAATTTTTTCATGCGTCATAGGGACGATTTTGTGTAAATTTACCACATCAACAAAAGCCATTCTTATTTTTTTACCGTAAAATAGTCGAATTATTTTTTAAGAACGAACAACACACAAAGTATTTAAGTATATTAAGAGTCTTCCCTTAAACCACAAATAAATTCAAATTTACTTCAAAATTTGTACAAGTATTTAGTTATACAGTTTTAGAAGTACACATACAACTTATTGCGTCCATTCTCGGTTTGTTTTTAACAATCGAGTAAAGTCTCTGGTAAAAATTAGTTTTTTTTGTAAGCAGAGATATTTAAGGTTTCAAGACTTGATGTGGTCACTCAAAGTTTTCTTTTTAGATGGATTGAGCGTTACTTGCGTTGTAATATTATCAGACCTAATTTAAAAAATAATTATAAATTAGAATTATGAAACTTTTAAAGATATTTTCAAGAAATCACCAAGAAGTTGCACAATGGTGTAGATTAAGAATTTCCATTGTTCTTGCCTCGAAGCTATATTGATATAGATATTTTAAATTGGCTGTCGTCTCGCCTAAAAAATTTGTTAGATTTTTGTCACATTTAAGTTGTTAAGTTTGATGTTCTCTTAATTTATTAAGGATATGAGTAGGAACTTGTTAGATTATAGGATCTTGTTGAAGAACTATATTAAAACAACTTATGGTAATTTAATATTATTATGATTATTGATATGCAGATTTTAATTAAATTTATTTTTATCTCACATTTGAAGGAGATAGTTTGTAAGTGTAAACGTATGCTAAACTTACCTTTAATACTTTAGATTTGTAGGAATACTCAATATAATTATTTATAAATATAAATTCTCCCTTTAATTTTACCTCTTTTACCTTTTCGTTCTTTTTTTTGCTAATGATTCCTTAATTTTTTGTTGTATTATCAAAATTAATTTCAATTAAGTATACAGATATTGGCAAGGAAAATTCTTTATCTACAGACCATGCAAGACAATATACTAAAAATGTACCTAAATTCAAATTAAACATGTAGATAATAATGAACAATTATCTGAAATACTCTCAATTTAACACTAGTGCTCTTTATTTTTTTGTTCACCTGTATAGATCAATAAATTTTCATCAAATCAGTCGTCTAACGTTAAATTATATAAGGTAGGTTAGACGACGTTAAATTATATAAGGTATAATATTACAAACACGATGTATCAAATAAGCCACTAAACGTTGTCTGTTGAAATTATATATAGAGAATTGAGGATTAAGTATAGCTAGAGGATTATGTAGTTACCGAGTCTGATTGAACAAGCAATAAATCTAGATAGCCTTTCCACATTGAGCTTCCCCGAGGCAACGTTCTTACGTTTATGTCACTGTTACTATTATTAATGGTTCTGTTTCGTAATACATATTACATTTAAAAAAAAAACAATGAATAAATAAATTATTATGGTTAAAAATTCCGACTACTGGTGCCGACTGTGATATATTTCAGGTTACCCATTTATTGTATGATATAGTAGAATGTACATATATTGTAAATATAAAACAAACTTAATAGTGCATGATAAACAAAGATTTTAATTTCGCAAAATTCCTCAAAAGTAGTGAACCTAGGAATGCTAAATTAAGATAACCAGATTAATTGTATTATTTAATTGATACACAAGTAAAAGATGTCTTAATGGTGTTTTTATGTATTAAAGTATTTTCTGCTAGCATTTTTATCATATGAAAAGACAGTTAATAAAGTATTACATTTGTGTATTTCTATTTATTTGTTTAAAGCAAGATTTTCCCTTCAATTTTATTTAGCAGAATTTTTTTAATAAAAGAATCACCTGTCGATTTAAATAATTCTCAGTTATCTAAAAATATATGGGACAGATGGATATTATTTTTAGAAGCTTTTTACGTAAGTTATGCTTCTATTCTGTCATGAGGGTTAAGACAAAGTCAGTTGGGTTCGAGTTCTAGGATTTTTTCTTATCTATTTTTAGGAATAAGAAATCCAAACTTATATTTTAACATCAACATTCCACAGTATTCAAGGCTTATCTCAAGCAACCAAAATATACAGATTACAGTGTAAAGGTAGCTACTACGAGACGTTAATGTTAGATTTGATTAATTTATTTTACATAAAAGGTGCCAAAAACGTCAAAATATACAATTATAACTATAATATAGTTATCATATTTTATTAAATAGTTAAACAAGATATTGCAAAAATATCACACCTATTACATCCCCTAAATAAATATATCATATTTCAATTTGTTACATTTTATTTTTCTTTTCGAATAATATCATATGCAAGCAATTATTTTATAAAAAAGTGCTATAAACAGAGACGTGTAAGTTTCAAGCACATATTGTTGTTACGTCACTTGCATTTTTATTGTTCATGCAATAATAGAGGAACTGAAAGGATATCTTAAAATCAAGGCGCACTAGAAAAGTGAGCATGTCTTAAGTGTAAGGGTCGCGACGAATGCGTGTGTGGGCCAGCGCACCCCAGCGGGCGCGGTCGGAGTTGGGGCGGGGTGTATCGATCAGGGGCGGGCGCTTGCGCTGCGGCCGCGGGTGCAGACGGCGTCGGTGGGCCTCGAAACTACACTCAGTTTCACCCGCGCAGTCCGCAGCTGGCCGCCAGGCAAGCTACTGCCTCCATCGCCGGCTTGGATCGCGAACACCGCAACATTTGACATTTCAGTCGCAGCGCATGACAACATACAATCACAAGCTGTCTAAGGAATTGCTCCAGTTACTCCAGAACTGATATACAATTTTCCATTTATACCTTTCGATAATTTTTTAGTCTTTTTGTGATTCGGAACGAATATTTCAAAAGTTTTTAGTAATTTCAATTCAAGTTAAAAATGACTTGTCGGGTTGGAAAATAAGTGGAGTGAAGACTTTGTTGAAGTGTTTAATTATATTCAGTGGACGTGTCAGTGACTAAAAAAAACTGTCGAAGCTCGGAACTTCACGGCTCGTTAATTTAGACAAACCGAAGGAGGAAATCTTCACTTGCGTTCGCTCATCGGTGATAAAATTTATGACGACGAACGGTAAGATGCGTACAGTGATAAGGGTCGGGTATGTTATCTCGAAGGGCGGCGTATATCATCCTGTCGAACTCAATGACAATTATATTACGTTGCGTATCTATGTTGTCTGTTATCTCGAATTTATATAATAAACATGTACAGTTAGCCATAAACAAGTAAAAGTGTGAGAATTATACATACCTTGAAATGTACAGAGCCACTTCCGATCAAATATTTTTGACATAACGGTCCTTATTTAATAAAAAATTTGAAATTTTTGTGGATTTTAAAGGATAAAAGGTCTTGTTAATCGTTAATTTATTTCCTCATTGCAATATCAGTCAGTAAAGAATATATAAAAATGTATTACTATTGCAAGAAAAATTCAAAGGTGACTAGATACCTGTGTGTTTGATTAAAAATAATAAGCAGTGATATAAGTAAAATAGTTTTAGCTCTATACTTTATTTTCTTCAAGAAACACAAAAAAATATGTGTTTGTCATTATGTTTTTTAACTTGACTATTAATCAAGCTCTACTGCTAGTAACAAGAAAAATCAGCTATAAATAACAGCTTCAAGGCGTAAGAAAATTCAAACAATGGCAGGCCGCAGTTGTGTACTTACAATATCTCATTACTTTTCATCCCGTAAAAAATAAAAGAGGCGACGCCCCGGGGGTTTAACATTTTCTTCAGTAGCTCGACATGAGAATTAGGATTATGGCTTGAAATCCAACTACTATATCAAAAATAGTTTAATTTAAACGAAAGATTATCATTATTATAATCTATGTTAATAAAATAATTTCTATAAAATATATCTTATTACTACTTCTTCAAACTTATCCCAACATAAATTTAAGAAAAAGATATTTTAGAGAATGATATCAAATATTTGTGGTTATTTTCTTTCTATTTAATATAGCAAAAGTTTTAGAACGGAGTAAATATAAGTTATTTACACATTTTCAATTACATTATTTTATTCCTGTCATACAAATGAGTTATATTTCTGAAAATATACCGCCAGCGAATTTAGGTTTATTGGTATTCCATGCGTCTTATCTCGCATTGAATTATCTCTCATGGGATTTCGATCCGTTATTTTATTCAAGATACGAGCGAGCTGTAGTAAGGTGTTAAGGAGTGAATTGGCTGAATGAATAAATATGAATCTAACTCAAGTAAAGTAAAATGGACGGCATATAATCTAAATTATATAATTATAACTTCTTTTTTTATCATCTTATTCATTGTTTCTGTGCTTTCAATCTCTTAATAGATTTGTAATGGAAGTAGAAAATTCAAAATAAAACTATCCAGATATAAAAATCACCATGATACGTAGCACAAAATAGCCTCATCAGACTAAATGCAAAGCATTTCTGGTGTCTTATTCAATGATGTAGGTTACTCTAATTTATAAATAAAAAACTTTTCATCCTCCGTATGTAGTGTGACAACACAGACTTAAAGTAAGCATAGGAAAAACCTAAGCAGACCAGTAGTTTTTACTGTGATGCATTGTGATTAAGAGGGCATAGAAGAATGCATTATTATTAAGTAAGTTTTAATATATTTTAGTGATTATTAAGATCATATTGGAAACATAAAGTTTGATATATAATTCAGCTTACTATTCAGTTTCTACTTACAAAAAGAACTCAAGAAAGTTTCTTCAGAATTTTTTTATTTACACGGTAAAAAGTTTGTAAGGATTTAGCCTTCCAACTGACAGCAATCTATTCTAGTCACGCGCGTTATCGCTGTTTATTCACATTCGCTTAGGCGTACGCAAATAATGGTTTAACTTCTTGAATTTACCCGGACGGGGTACGTTTTGCACACTTGTGTCATTTAAGCAACATTCATAATTATATCAGCCGCTCTGCTACATTAATATCGTCATGTCCCTAATTTTTATTATCTGAACGTGACGTTTGTTTTTCTGTGATGACTTTTTAAATTTTATTTTAATAGTGATTTAGTATCACAAATTTTCATTATAAATTAATGGCGATAGAAGAGACTTTATTGTCATAAAATATGAAATATAAAAAAAGTCATAAAATTCAAAATCAAATATGTTTACTATAGATAAATGAGGCTATTAAGGCTCTTGACTTTTTGATACGCCCCAGTGTTCTCAAATATTTTTTATTGAAACTTCCTATTTTCCTAATTAATTTGAAAAATAATTATGTAATCTCGAAAAAACGTTTCGTAAATTATTTATATAGTAACTTTTTGCCAAACACCGAACATCTTCAAAACGAAATTTTCTAAAAGTCTTTGTACATTTATAATCTTTAGTTTTTCCGATATGACATAATATTTTATGTTTTAACATCATCACAAATATTTTTATGACTTATTTGCACAGTAACAATGATGGAATAAAAACTTTCTTAATAAAATATGAAACAAATTATCATATTAGAAGAGTACTTATAAATGGTATGTTTTGGTGAAAAGAAATTAAATTAAAGATTTTTATTACACTAAATAAGAAACAATGTTTCTTCGTAAAGAATTTTTTACAAATACAGCCATTACTCAACCTTGAAACTGAAAACAAAACAATGTTGTTGTCACTGTTTTGTATCTTCCCTTAGGTTACGGGAAAGAGGTAATATACCAAAGAATAGACTATTTTTGCATTTTTTTGGTCGTATTTTTCAGCAATGTCTCTCTAAAATATTTTTATTAGTAACCATTAACTAAACATGGGGTACAAATACAAACCTTTACCATATAATCATTGCAGTGCATTACATTCTAAAAAGAAACACTGAAGACTCAGTATAAATTTAAACATGAAATTGTATTAACTTTAAAATAATTTTTGCATTTAAAACTACTAAAATTTACTCAATAATTAATATAAAATGATTCTTAATTAAAACTGATAGATTGTAATGTTATTGTGCTATTTCCTTTGTGGGTATTATAGGTCGCAACAGGTTCGTCAGTGTAGGCGCATGAATTATGGACGACAAGCTTCACCACTAATTGATTCTTGAACTTTACCTCGCCCTACATTAAATCGTCTCTTCAAAATGCAGTAGGTGCTTAGTTAAGTCAGCTTTTGGCTTAGCAGTCGTGTTTGAATTGCCACAAGTTTAAATGAAATTACTGATGGTAATGGTAAATGATTCATCTGTAAATGAAAAAGTCATGCCTTTAATTAATGTATAGTAACACGAAACCTTTGAAATTCGTACTGTTATTTATGTATTAATTTTTAATCGATTTATTCAAAATTTCAATTTATATTTAATTTTTTAGATATAATGACACAGTAAGGTATGAATATTTGTATCTAATTTATGCAATTTGCTCATAATTTACATTAACTTTTTTTAATTACTTTTACAGTTTAATAAAGTTAACTTTTTATTTTCTTCTAACACATATAAAGAATTTACTACATAACTATTTAGGCGCCTGCAATATCTCTCTCCATTCTTTTTTCTTTTATAACCTCTTACTACATTATACTAAGCTATTTAATTTGAACTCGGGACCGACTAAATCAGTTTCACCAACCACAAAACCTCCCTAGCCGAATTATATTTGGCTTCGGTAATTTCAGTACGTCACACAGTTCAATAAAAAAATTGAGTGGCTTGCCATATGTCGATGACGAGGATAGCATTTTGCTCACATATTATTTTTTGTAATTTGCCTCATTTCAGTTTAAGATGTCCCAAGCTTTTTAACTAGAAGGATATTTTTAAATTCCGAGCAAATAAATGATATAATTCATTAAAATCTCTTTTCGAAGATTTTAGCCATTATATGAACCCATTATTTCCTCTTGGCTTCCATATATTCTACATTTCAAACTTTCACAATATCCAAAACGCATTATTTTGTTATACATTTTAAAATTAAATTCATTAATTAACAATACATTCTAAAGTGTGAATGCATTATCAGTATAACGACATAGTATCCTCGTGTGATTTAAAAGTGAAATCTCACTATATTCTTTTAAAATAATAACTTCATTTGAAAAGGTTTTAATACTAGTTGCGTTATTTCAAGTATACCTTATACCTTACTTAGAGGGCGGGAAAATGTATTGTGCTCCTGCTAGATATGGTTTTCAGTTCCTGATATATTAATATCATATGTAAAGCGCATTTTACACTTTACAACTTATGTGTATAAACCCAACGAAGTATTTTTCAAAAAGATTCATTTGAAAAGGGATGAGAAAACTTTGTGCATACTAATGTGCTTAAAGTGATCACAATAAGAGATGTTATAAATGCTATAAGTAACTTTGTATATATAGCACTTTATATTTAAATAAATATAACACTAAAGAAACATTAGAAAAATCTCACATAAACAAAAATAACGAATAATGCCTCTGTTAACAATATTTTAAAAAATATCTTTTCGTCTTTAACCAAGCGTATATTTTTGATAAGATTCTAAGAATTAGCTCTTTGATATTCTATTTCTTTAACATTAATATTAAGTCGAAAGAAATATTTTACATTCTTTCTATTCTATTATTAAATTATTTATAAGTACCACTCTATACATCGTCTTATAAATTATATAACAAGATGTTTTCTCCTTATACTAAAACATTTTATATATAGAGGATTATAATTGTTTGAAGTATTAACGTTCACACTAAATAACGAAGATGACTTTAGATTTAATCTGACCATCTCAACTATGCTTCAACGATAACGGCCAAATGAAGT